GTGAAATGAGAAGGACTCCAAAGAATGTTGATAACAAAGGAAATAAAGAAATGAAATGGGCCACTTCCCTTGTCTTCAGTCTTCAGATGAGGATCAAAGCGCAGTGATCAAAGCACAATGTACTCACAAAATATCTAAAGAATTCCATCTGCCCAGAGGGCATGCAACCTATGCCACACATTCCCCGGCTTGTAGGCCAGAGTGGCCCTCCCTTTCACAGGGCTGCCACTGCTGAGGAGTACAGGAGTAATAAGATGTTTAAGCCCTCTCCATTAAGTCCTCTAAATTCTTTCTTTGGGATTGGAAAATTGTATGCTGGGGTCTTTGTAGTCCTGGGGTTGAACATCATCTCTGTCTGGTCCACCCTTCCCTCCTGACCCCTTACAGACATATCCTTACATCCCTACTATTTATAGCACTTTCCCCTCAGCTATGGGGCCTTTCCCAGGAAGGGAACAACTTTTCTTCCACTTCCCTCTTATTTCCCTCTGAGGCAGAGCTTTGAATATATACAGGGTGAATACTGTAAACTTTGATAATTTTTAAAATTTAGCTTCTATGATTCCGCCCATTATACAAACCACACTGTCCAGAAAAGCTCAGAGAGGGATCCTTCCTATTAAATATATTTAATATATGTATTTAATTAGAAGGCTCAGAAATTTCTAGTCCCTTTTGCTTTCCAAATTAATGTAGTGTTACTATTTGAGGTCAAAAAGACAAGGGCATTTAAAAAAGGGGAGTGTTCTTAGATTCCCTCACATTATACCACTGCTCATGCAAATGATCTTCATTGCTTAGGTAAGTAATGCTTCTGTGGAGTTGTAGAAGTCCTTCTGTTGTCTTTTCAGATTATTTAGAGCCATGCAGGAGTTTCTGTTCATCATCCAGGATCTTCTCTTCTACCTCCAGTCCATATTCTAAGAGATTATGTCCAAGTCTTAGTACTAACATTTCCTTATCATATAGTTTATGTGTTTGACATTTCCTCTCTATGGGTTTTCCAGAAGAAAAAATAATAATTCCTCTCACCTAAATGAAAGGAGATTTATTTAGCTAAAATAGCACAATATCTCAGAAATAGGGTATGCGACAACTAAAAATAAGAGTCTGATGATGGTTTATTAGATTATCAACGTTTCCCATTATGGTCCCATTAAGTTTTACTGCGCAAATATACAGAAGCTCTGCCTTCTGACACCCAGAGAGCACACAAGGAAGTAAATACAATTGTCATGTAGACAAATAAAACATGAGGCACTGCTAGCATAGTTTTTTGACTTCTGTAGAACTGTAAATCTGCCACTCAAAATATTTCCAGGTACTTATGCATTGGTCAGTTTAAGCCTGTGGAAGAAATGTACTTCTAATTGTTAGCATGTGAGGAAGAAGTGTTAAAATCATTTATTTGTAAAATTTGGAGTTCAGGTTATAAGCAGCCCTTATAAGAATTAGGGAACAGAGATACATAGGTATTATTAGCCTATCAATAGAAGTCTTTAGAAAGATAGTACTTTTCACTTTGTTAATACTTGTTCCAAGTGTTCTAAGTGAGAAATAGGGTCATCTCTCTCATGATAGAAGCATATATTCTAGCACTGAGTTTCTTAATGTAAATGTATTAGGCTACCAACATTTCATATAAGATGATTCTTTATATGGCCTCTCTTGTGCATTGCAGGATATTTCCCAGCATCTGTGGCTAATACTCACTAGATGGCAATATATTTCCCCTGTCTTGCATGACAACCATAAATATATCTGGATATTTGTAATTTCTCTGGTTGAAAATCACTTTTGCAGTGTAAAAGGAGGATAGGCCTGCTACTCTAGATAACCAAAGAGTAACATGTGAATCTTACATAGAATGTATTAAGCATTTGAGTAAAGAATGAGTAAATGCACATAATTTTTTCTTTGCTTTTCTTCCTCTTTCCTTTCTGAATGTTCCATCCCTCCAACCTCATTGTGAAAATACTAAATTAGCAAAAACCACTGAATAATGTATAGGTTTCTGAAATTTTTCCTTCGTTGTCTTATTTTCATGGTATTTTTAGGTTGTGGGTTGTAAAGATTAGTAGTTGTTGGCCTGTGTTTGGGTGATTCCTTTTTTCCTTACAGATTATTGGTCTACATGAGAAGAACAGTAATAAATAGATATTTGTCATATCTATTTTTCACTTGAGCCTTCAAAATAAGTAATTTAACCTAAAGAGTTGTGAGGAGCAAGAACTTTGCTGTAATACTCATAGCATGGCAAAAGGAAGGTGGACAGGAATAGAGGGAGGAGATGAGAGAACAACACTATAACATCTGACTTGTGATACCACCAGGGTTCTTGCATTGGTGTTAGTCAGCTTTTCATTGTAGTAACCAAAATACTTGCCAAAAATAAGTTAAAGGGGGAAAAGTTTGCGGGGGAGGGGAGCTTATGGTTCCAATCCATGGTCAGCCAACTTCATTGCTCTGGGCCCAGGATGAAGCAAAATATCGTGGTTGAAGGGCATGATAGAGTAAAACTATTCTGTTCATGGTGGCTAGGAAGCAGAGATAGTAAGGAGAAGGAGTTGCAGGGAAGATGAATGCTTCCAGAACATGCTCCCAGTGGACCCACCTCCTCCCTCCTTGCCCCACCTGCCTATAATACTTATTACTCCATTCAAACTGGATTAGACTGATTAGGTTACATCTCTCATCATCTAAATATTTTACCTCTGAATATTCCTGCATGAACATTGGAGCTTTGGGGGGACATCTCATTTCCAAACCATAACACCACCCTCCCATAAGAATCTAAAAAGCAATCATATTTTTCTAGTTCTTCTAATCATATCCTCATCATGGAACCATATTCTGAACCACTATGTTTCCATCTGTAGGGAAGGTATGCCTAGTATCATGAATATTTATACTAGACTTATGGGAAGGAGAAAGAGCACTAGAGAGTGGTCCCATTTTTTCCCTTCTTTCTTTTTTGCCCCCACAAATTCAGTAACTAGGAATATTATATTTTATTGTTAATTTCATGTTCTAGAATTGAAGTCAACTTGTCTACTGCTGAGAGCCACGGCTGAGTCTGTATGGCCCCTGGCATTTTGCCAACAGTATTGATTGACAGGCGCCTCTGCCTGTCCGCCTCTGCCGCAACTTTTGAGTTCTCGCACTATTTTGGAGTTCTCGTGGGGATTTCCGGGGATTCCCCGAGAGTTCCCATTGGTTGGGGAAGTGCAGGAGGAGGGATTTCGGGGAGAGATAGTTCCGGCTGGGGGTTCCTGGACAAGCCTCCTGGCGCGTTCGGGAGGATTCCCCGGGAGCTGTGTGCCTGCAGTTTAAAAATAAAGTTTGTTCCTGCTTCAGTGGCTCGTGATTTGTGCCCAGCCAGACTGCGGCAGTCTACAAATCATAGATGATAGGCTATCAGATTCTATATCAGTGATGATTTATGTTTTTCTTTTAGAACCAGTCAGCCTGAGACAAATGATTGTAGATTGCAAAGGTTGGGAGCTAAGTGTTCATTGCATGTTCAGTGTCTGATGCAGGTAATGGTTAACTTCCACAAACACTCTGGCAGTACTTGGGATCTAAGGAGGCAGGAAGGACTTCAGGCCTTCAGGAGGAGGCTTGGACAATCTCAAGTGTATCCTAAGAAGTTCTATTTGCCTTTGCTCTGCTTCTCTATTTAGGGAAGTATTCCTGACTTTTTCTTTCTCCCCAACAGCCCCACAAACCTGGCAGCTACCCTGCCAGGAATCATCAAGTTTGATGACATCTCTCAATATAGGCTTTTCATTTATTGCTTTAACAGGAAAATCGAAGTATAAAATGTATGCCCTGGTAGTCATCTGCTTAGATAACATGACATTGTCCTAGATTAATCCTATCCATAGGAAAGCAACAAAATTCCTAGCCAGAAGACTTAGAAATAGAATGCAGACTTTATAAAGGTAGTAATAATTACCTATTTTGGCCCCTGCTGAATCCCAATGCCTGATATAGATAGAATTTAATAAATATTTGTTAAATGAATAAATAAGGATGTTTATAATTTCATTATTAAGAAACATGTTTAAATGATTCCAGAGATTGTTCAGAGGTGGAATAATATAATTGCAGCCCTGGGTTCCTTTCTTCTTTTCTGTTTTACCATTCTAATAGTTCTGTCTAAAAGGTCACAAGATGGTTGAACTAACTTCACAGACACAAGATGGCTGACAAAGCTCTAGACATCATGTCCTCCCTCACACAAATAACCCAAGAAACAAGAATCATGGACAATTTTGAGTCTCTGTTTTTATTTAGGCACTAAACTCTTTTTCAGAAAGCCCAAGACAAATTCTCCTATGGCCTGATTTTGGTGGCCTGCCACCGCACGCAATTCTACTTCATGCAAGATTCAGTGAAGGCTGTAGTCTTCTATTGTTGCCTCGGAGAAAGGCAGTGGTGAAAGAAGTCACCTTGATCAAAGCACATCTCGGGTACTTGAGTTTAAGAAAGAGTACAAATACATGCTGAAAATCTAGAAACTATTTCTTTAAAGCTACCCTTGCCTGCCTATACTTTGGAAATTCTTTATGCACTCAGCTTATAGCCCACTATTGTTCCATAAGAGCATGTTATTTCACTTCTCTGTGCCTCATGCCAAGCAATATGCTTGACATTTTTTATTAAATGATGAGGGAGGGGAAGGCATGTCAGTCTAATTTCCCCCGTTCTTCCCTTAGCTTTCCTAACCACCAATCCTACATGCCATACTAAGATGTAATTCCTGAGATACTGAAAATATTTTCCGGCTAGAAGAATCCCAAGCTAAGGTCAATAACATCAAAGACATAAATGCAGGGAAGTACAACGTTGGTCTTTATTTTCTTTCTTTCTTTTTTTTTTTTTTAAGTTGGTCTTATTGCTCAAGAAACAGTATTATAATAAATGATGTTTCCTGGTTGGAATCACAGTTTCATTATAGACATCATCACAAAATTGGGTTCTCGGCCTCCTTCTTCTCAGGCCAGATGGCAGCAACGGGCAGTGGTCCAGTCTATCACAGAACACTGGCAGTGACATGTGGTTGTTCCCCGTACATCCCAGGAACCACAGGCATAACCACAAGCACAACCAGTGACGACCATACCTGCATGGACATGTGAGACACTGACATCAGAGCCCTTGGATCTTGAGAACTAGAAGGCACATTTGTAAACATCTTTTATCCCCATGAAGCCCAGGGATAAATCTAGGTTTTGTGGGGGCTAAATTACAGTCAATGTTGCAGTCTGTTTTAAGAATAAAAAAAATCCCTAAATTACAGAAGCAACAACAGTTTCTTTTTTTTTCTTGAGGTTATCAGGGATTGAACTCAGGGTTACTCAACCACTGAGCCTCATCCCCAGTCCTGTTTTATATTTTATTTAGAGACAGGGTCTCACTGAGTTGCTTAGTGCCTTGCTTTTGCTGAGGCTGGCTTTGAACTTGTGATTGTGATCCTCCTGCTTCAGCCTCCCAAGCTGCTGGGATTGCAGGCATACACCACCATGTCCGGCTCAGTTTCTTTAAATTGATAAATTTACCTCTGTGAATGCCCCATCACCACCACCAACACAGAGGCTTAGAACTAGAGAGAGACTAAAGCTATCACTATGACAAGGCAGTTGACGTGAATGGGCTGGTGTGTGGGGGCAGAACAGTGGGGAGTAATAGAAACTCAAGATCTCTCAATAGCATCCTAAGGAAAACGGGATGGGAAGTTATCTCCGAGAAGCAGAAATTACGGCTTGGCTTCAAGGTAACACAGACCTTAACTTGGGGAACGTATATGTATTAGGGGATGGGCAGGGAAAACAGGGGCATCTTACCCACAAGTCTTCCACATGGTGTTACTCACCAGCGGGACAGGAGGACAGTCTTCCTGAGCTTGTGATGCTGACACACGAGAGTGTCTTGGTTGGGATGGAGGGTTTATACTCTGAGTAGGAGAGAGACATATTGCCCATCATGATGCTTTCTCATAATCCCCTTCCAGATCTTCTTCTACCTTGGAGGTATCACTGTGTCCACAATCATAACTTTTAAGGTTTAGCTTCCTCATTTGTAAAGTGGAAGTTATAGCTGTACTTACCTCATAAAGTGGCTTTGGAAATTAAACTAACCAACGTAAATCTATGTATTACATTTGAATGTTTTATAACTATCCCTCTTCTCCTCCTCCTCCTCATCAGGAAAACTTGAGTCAAGAGCCCAAAGTGGGTAGAAGAGTTAAGGAAGCCCTGGGCAGGAAGATTGGGCTCTGGTGGGCTGACTAGGACTGACTTAGGATGCACTAGGGGTGAAATTAGGGTTTAAGAACAGGAGGCATGAGTAAGGGTGAACCTCCTATTTCTCCCAATTCCCGGCAGTTCCCTATACCTTTGAGAGCTTCCTGAATTCTTTTATTCACTACAGAGTCTAAGGAACACTGAAAACTCCCCGGAGTCATCAACTGAAGAAGGGAGATGAAGATGAGGAGGCAAGAAGTATGCTTCATCTTGTAGGAAGTCAGTGTCCTGGAGCTGGGAGGGAAAATGGAAAGAAGCTGAGATCGCTGAGCTCCATCATGGGTGTGAGGGACAGTCTCAAGGGAGCAAGGATCGGAGAAGAGCATTACCAGTACTGGATCTCTTTAAGCTCTTTGGAGAAGCAGAGAGGATTTTGGCAATGCAGACTCACTCACCAAAAAGTTCAGAAAAGTTTTGCAAGGACTAGGCAAGCAACAACGCTTTAATACCCAGTGGTATTGACTTTGGCACCATTACCACATAAGCATGACACAGGATTGTGATAAACTTGAGTGTGTTCATGATAAGCAATTGCTGCAACAGTGTTGGTTCTTTGTCAGTGGGTGTGCTCCTGCCTTATTGTTCTCCTCTCACCTCACTTACTGGCAAACTGATAAGGCTAGCACCTGGGTCTTCTGTTGCCTGTCCCATATTAGAACCTCTTGTTTGATCCTTCATCAGGAAGTGGTTACTTTGTGGTCTGCTGAGTGAGGATCCTATTTGACACCTGTTCAGACACATTGTTATATTGTACCTGTCATATCCCATCTGGGCCATTAACAGAGAGACTGAGTAACCTTGGCTGAAAAATAAGGGAGTTTTCTATTTACTTAAGAAGAATATGAGGCATGATTCCAGGCTCCTTTGGGGATAGGGTTGTTATTATTAGTTTGATTTTTTCTCTCCCCCTTTCCCCCGACAATATTCAACTCACCTTTTCATCTTGGCTCCTCACAGACACAGGTGGCAAGTACCACATCCTCAGTCCAGACCCTGAGCACGAAGCAAGAATTGAGGCAAAACCATTCCATTTGAGGCTTGGCTTTTTCATTTTGGAAGCAGGATTCTTTTTTCTAGAAGATCAAAAGATTTCCTCTTACATTTTAGTCTTTAGTTCTGGGTCATATGGATATCCCTTTCCACAACATGTGGCTAGGAAAGTTGAGTCAGACTCAGCCACCTCCATCATCTAAGACCTCTGAGCCCAGACATGTTTCACAACTCAAAAGAGTTCTGATTTGGGAAAGCTAGACAGAGCAAATTCTGTATTTTATGTTATACCAGCAAGGAAGTCTATAGCAGCACTCTGTTAATCAAACACATTAATATATCTGTTATAAAATGTGTGAATATTAACATGGAATAAATAATGGTCATAAAGAACCACATAAGTTTTCCTGCCAAGTGAGTTAGCATCAAGTTTAGAAAAAACATTCTTGGCTTTCAGAACTTTTTTACATTTTAGAATCATGAATGAGAGAATGAGGAGTCATATGTGCCCACAAAAAGCAAAAGTGCTCCAATTCATCATCCAGGATGGGGCAGGTGGCCACCACGAATAAATGAGGTTTAAAGAAAACACAATAAAGAGGCAGAGAATAGCTGTGGGGGTGACCATTACTGGAGGCAATCAGAGCTGGAAAAGCCCACTCTATTTATGTGGCCAGGCTTTCTGCCTCCTTCCCTAGAGACGCCTGCTAACAAATTGCAATTTTTTTTCTACAAGGTTCTGTCAAGCAAACATGAGAGTGAGGCCCAGAGATGCCAGCAAAAGAGGCATTCTCAATAACCAAGTAGGAGTTGAGGAAGGGGAGGAGGGAGAGTGAACAAGAAAGAGCAGAGACTGGACTTTGGTATAAAAGTAGGGTAAAACAATTCATTGGTTAATGGGATAAATATTTGTAGAGCCTCTCTGTACCAATTCTAGCTTTGGTTGACTCAGCCATGGGCAATGCAGACAAGATCCTTGCCCTTTCGAGACTACATTCTAACTTGGGAGGGAAATGTACACAATAATGTAGAAGTATAATATGTCAGATACTGAAAAATGCCCTGAGGAGAAATCAACCAAAGCAAGGCAGTAGGGTGTGCTGGTGTGGTGTTCCACGTAGCATAGAGTGTTCAGGGAAGGCGTCTCATAAGAGGTACCCATGACCTGAAGAAGTGAAGGGGAAAGTCTTGGGGAAATCTGGACAAGTGTCCCAGGCTGAGGAGAAATCATGTGTGAAGAGCCTAAGGCGGGTGACTGTTGGTATGTTGAAGGAATGGCAACAACGGCAGCATGGCTCACCTGGAGTGAGGTAAGGGACAGATGAGCCAGGAGAGGCCAGAGGTACCACCTCTACTTGGTTATAGAGAGCTTGTGCACTGGTGTCATGGCTTTGAGTTTTGTGAATTTGACAGAAAATTATGGAAGTGTTTTGTTCGGAGGATCAGGTGAGATTATTTATATTTTAAAAGCTTACAATGGCCACTGTGAAAGAGTCTATGGATGGGAAACAGATAAGCTGGGAAACCAGACGGTAGCAGGATTTTACAGATTTCTAGGTCTCGGGCGGGAGTTGGGGATGGAGTGAAGACTGGATGCATTTGGATTATGTGTAGATACTTGAGTCTCTATAGGGTTTACTGGATGTGGATGTAGGAGAAAGAGAGAAATGAGATACCCAGGTGTTAATCCCAAGCAACACATTGAAGAATAATGGAATTTACTGAAATGAAGTTCTCTGGGGAGAGAGTAGATATGGTGGGAAACATTAAATCATATTTGATCATGTCAATTTAATCTGCCTCTTAGGCATCCAGATGCAGTTGTAGCATAAAAAATTGGGTACACAAATCTTCTGTTCACTGAATAGGTAAGAGTCAGTGATATAAATTTAAGAGGAATCAGTACACAACTGGACCTACTAAAAGATACTCTAACAGGAAAACAGAAACCTCTATTTATTATTTATGAATCAGGTAAAGAAAGTGATAGTCTGAAAGTGGATGACTACAAAAATATAGGTTTAGGTACCTGAATTTAATTACATTGACTAGTCAGTTTGTTGGGAATGGCAAGGAAAGAGAACAGGATTGTAGGAGAGTCAAGTAGGTTATAATGAGCCTGGACCACAGGGATGGGGACCATAACCTCTGGGGAATATTTTTAGTCAGTGGCATGTCCAGCATATTTGGCACATAAGGAGTCACTTTTTAACACCCCTGTCCTATATGTAACAAAATTATTTTCAGTAGTAATTATATAATGATTAGTTAAGGTCACTATTCTTGATCCAATCTATGGTTTTAAGACAAAAACACTGTCAAAGAAAAAAATCAATCTTAAAAATATTTCATTATAATATTTTATATGTGAACTGAAGTTTGTACTTATCAAAGAAAAATATTGTACCTCCTGGTTTTCACTGTTTCAATTTTAATTTTTAACACATTAAATTCATATAATCATATATAATGGTCACATGAATGTAATTCAATTTCTGTTAATTTGTCTTTGCAATCACTGGACTACATTTATTTAGAATCTGCTGTTTAAATCCAGGAATATATTGTAGTATAGAGATTGGAAACACAAGATATGAGAAACAAATGTTTTGAGTTGTTACTAACTGTTGAAATGAAAGTGGGTAACTGAGGCAAGTATGTAGGGGCACCTAGCTAACTGAAATTTCTCTGAATTAACTTCCATGTAGAATACAATGTTTATCAAAGGACGAATAATAAAATGTGCTAATCAGAAGCTTTAAATTCATATGACTAAAACTCAACAGTAATCACCACAATTATTTAGAATTTAGATTAACAACATTTGGAAAGGAATATTTTACTCTTGATAGTATTTAGAATTGCCATGCATGGTGATAATAAAAATGGTATTAAATTTACTTACTCTTAGCTTTACTTTAAATTTCTTTAAAAATGATGTACTTTACATGTTGCTAACATGCCCACCCTTGGTAGTCTCTGCTAATAATAGAAGGACATTGCCCTGGGATCGAACATCCTGTTTATAGGACTTCAATCTCAGTAATCCAGGAAAAATGTTCATAAAAATGTTCATAAATGTTCAAAACAGAAAGAGTAGAAGAAATGTTTTTGTTTTTCCATAATTTGTAGATAAACTAAGTAGTCTTTTTTTGTAAACATTCTTCTGTTCCTTAGAGCTACCTTCTTTCTAAAGGTGCACTCTTTTCCCAAACACCCAAATGTGCAGTTATCTTTTAACTCTTTATTCCCTGCCTCATCCAAATCTCCACTGATTATTTTGTATTTTATTTTACATGTAAACAAATTTTGAAAAGTTGTTAGCATAGGGTTGTTACTACAAAAAGAGGACCATAAATCTGAACCTGGGCAACTGGAAAGAAAGGTAAAGGCAGAGCAGATGGGGGTGGAGTTGACAGGGTCATCCATCTGAGGTTAAGCTGTAACTTCACAGCATGGTTTTGTAATGACTTCCCTTGTGTGTGGAAACAAAAGTCTTCAGTGTGGAGTGTAGAACTCCAAAACGTGTGCAGGACAATCCATGGAATTATAAGAAGTAAATATTAGATCTTTCATTTTTATTTATTTTTTTTCATTATCTAATATTTTCTGTTTTGTATTTATTTTATAGTGAACAGAATAGTATTACATGTTTATAAATTATATTCAAAGATAGTTTGATTTTTAAAACTCGTGGTACATCTAGATAAAAAAAAAAAAATGAGACCCAGAAACAAACAAGTTTCTAAGCTGTGTTTTTGGCTGGTGTTGAGGAGGTCTCTGATGAGACATTACATGCTGATCATTTTTGATATTCAACAAAAATGAACCTTGTTGACTCATATACATTAGCTATTTCCTGATAAATAAAAGTAATGTTAGATATAAATTTGGGAATCCAGATTTGTATTATCATTCAAATCAGAGGTTATTTCATTCTTGAATAGAAATTAGCTATCGGTTCTCTTGGTATAATGTCCTTCAGAATGATGTTGGAATCTGCTCAGGGGTTGTATAAAACCTGATTAAGACTGCAGAGTTCTGTACCATCAAGGGGGTGGGGGGATGCTTTCAATTTGTTGTGAAAGCTTAAAGGACCCTTACTCACCAAGGCTTCAATCAGGTACACATCTCTTAAAGGAGATTGCATTCCAGAGTGGCTGAGAGACTTCATTTGTCCAACAAATAAAATGTTGGAAAATGTCTAATAATGACGTTT